CTCAAGCATGAAGGAGCTGCCTCAGCCTGGCAGCCCCTGGCCCTCCCTGCTATGTCTCTACCTCAGAGCAGGGTTGTCTTGGGGGATGAAGAGCTTGAAAAGCTGTGCTGATGTGTTTATGCCCCTCTGTGAGCCCAGACTGATGTCAGGAAGCCCCCTGCTGTCTCATGGTGGATGTAATTCCCTCCCCCCACCGTCCATTGTCCCCCCTGCCCTGGCCCCCAGCACAGCAGAGGTGCTGCTTTCCTGCTGTTGGGAGGCCCCAGAACACACACAGCTTAATCCTGCCACGGGGTAAGGATGTAGAAGGGCTGCCTCTCTGTGGGAAGTGGTGACTTCCTGCTCTTGCTCCCAGGCTGTTGCCTCCAAGCTGGATCTGCCAGATGACCTGGTTGGCTACTTCAGCCTCTTCCTAGTGAGAGAGACCAAGGATGGAGCTTTCTCCTGTGAGTAGAGCATGCTGGAGCCCCATGAGGGCTGCAGTGGGACATCTGCCCTGGAGCCTGCCCTTGTGCAAGAGATGTGTACTTGGACCCCATGTCCTTGCCCTGGGTGTGGGGATCCAGTGGGCTCCCCTGGGGTGCCTTGGCTGGCGGGGGTCCGGTGGGCTCCTGCTGTCCTGAGCTGCTGTTGAGCTGCTGTTTCTCTGCAGTCGTGCGGAAGCTGCAGGAGTTCGAGCTGCCCTACGTGTCCGTCACCAGCCTGCACAACCCCGAGTTCAGGATCATCCTGCGCAAGAGGTGAGCGGCAGGGCTGGAGGGGCAGCACTTGCTGGAGCAGTTGGGTGTTGTCTGGGCTCTGTGCTCTGCAGAGGGACCTCTCCCCTCCAGATTGCCATCTGTGGGTGCTTTGGCCTGCAGGAACACACCTGGGCATCCCCAGCCATGACTTGGGACAGCTGGACTGCCCTACTGGGCTTGTTTCCACTTACCCAGACACAGCCCTTCCCGCCTCTGGCAGCTGCTTGAGAAGGGGAGTGGGACATGTCAGCTGATGGCTACTGAGGGAGCTGGCCAGAGAGCCAGCCCAGTGCCTTGTCCCAACATGGAGGGTGTTTTTCTCCCCATTGCTTTTAGAGAATGGGGAATAGGTTGACCCATGTGGTTTCCTTCTAGCTACTGGGACTCCTCCTATGATGACGATGTAATGGAGCATCGTGTGGGGTTGAACTTGCTGTATGCACAGGTGAGGGTCAGTGTGGCCCAGCTGTGTGAGGAGGGACACTTCATCCCTCGCCTATGGCTGTGTGGGGTCTTGAGTGGGTCTGGGCTCAGCTGCTCACCAGCTTCTGCTCCTTGGTAGACGGTGTCAGACATTGAGCATGGATGGATCCTTGTCAACAAGGAACAGCACCGGCAGCTGAAGTCCCTGCAGGAAAAAGTCTCCAAGAAGGAGGTAGGGGAGGGCACAACACTGTGACTGGTGCAGTCCCAGCGCCAGACTGGCACTGCTCCCCTGTGAACTTGTGGTGCTGAGTGGCTCAGGAGGTATATCGAGAGGGTGGCAGCCTGTGCTACCTTCCCTGGCTCTTCCCTGCAGTTCATCCGCCTGGCCCAGACCCTCAAGTACTATGGCTATCTCAAGTTTGACCCCTGCATCACTGACTTCCCGGAGAAGGGATGCCATGTAGTCGTCAGTGCTGGCAACAATGAGCTCAACTTCCAGGTGCGGCTGCCCAATGAGCAGATCAAGGAAGGCAGCTTCAAGGTCACACGCATGCGGTGCTGGCGGGTCACATCCTCGGTGAGTCCTACATGTCTGTGGGACCCTGGGGAGCAGGGAGGGGTCTGCTGAGACCTGGCTGTGCCAGGCTGGTCTGGCAGCTCTCCCCAGACAAGGTGCTGGCTGTGTTGCCTGCTTCCACCCAGCTGCCCTGGGAATGGGCCGAGTTGTCCTTTGGGGCTGAGGGGGTCATGGGCGTGAGGACATTTGAGAAGACTGGTGGTGGTGGAACAGTGGGAGCTGGGCAGTGTGTCCAGTGCCTGGCTGGAGCCTGCCCTCTGTCAGCACAGGGGCCTGGGAAGCTGGCTCCTTTCCCTCTGGAGGCTCCTGGCCTCAGCATGTGCCCTTGCAGGTGCCGATGAGCAATGGTCCCTTGGGGAGCAGCCCGGGGAAGTCTGAGGTGAAGCTGGAGCTGGCTTTTGAGTATCTAATGAGCAAGGACCGGCTGCAGTGGGTCACCATCACCAGTCCACAGGTAGGGCTGGCTGTGTGCTAGGCTGGCTGTGCACAAGGACCGGGGTGAGGGAAAGGGCCGTTTTGGGCTTGGTTTTGCACATTGGGAAAGCCATGGGGTGCATGGAGCCTCGTGACACGTCCCTCTTGCAGGCCATCATGCTGAGCATCTGCCTGCAGTCCATGGTGGATGAGTTGATGGTGAAGAAGTCTGGAGGCAGCATCAGGAAGGTGAGGGTTGGAGCTGAGTGTTGTCTCTGGGGTGACATATCATTCTGCCCCTCTGACTCCCTGGGGTCTAGGCTGGGCCCTCCTTGCTCTCCTCAGCATGAGGCCAGATGAAGGATCCCCAGGGGCTGTCTTAACCTCTAGAGCTGCCCATGGGGACCCTGTGGCTGAGCTGAGCTCCTTCCCTGCAGATGTTTCGCCGGCGCATGAATGGAGCCCTGCGGCGCTCGGACAGCCAGCAAGCTGTGAAATCCCCCCCGCTGCTGGTGAGTGGGACCCTGCAGTCCTGTAGAGGAGACAGGTGTGACCATGGGCTTTGCTGTGTGTCGGGTACCAGAGCCCACTGCCCCCAGAGGTGCTGCTGACCCCTCATGAGTGTTGGGGCAAGCGCAGAGGACAGCAAGCCTGCAGTGCCCCACTCCTCCAGCCCTGGGAAGAGAAAGAGGAGCTGGACTCATCTCCAGGAGCCGGACTCCCTGGGAAGGGAGGGCAGCCTGGCCTTGTCCCATGAGTGCAGGGAGATGCAGATGTGGGAAGGGTGTGTGGCATGTCCCACCCCCTCAGTGCTTCCTGACCTTGCTGTCCCCACAGGACTCACCTGATGCCTCCAGGGAGCCAATGGCCAAACTCTCGGTGAGTTGTGTGCAGGCACACTGGTGTCATCACCCTTGGACTGAGGGAGGAACCTCCCTAACATCTCCCCTCTCCACAGAGCAAGCTCACCTCTGTCAGCCTGCGAGGGATCAGCCACTCCAGTTCTGCTAATGATGTGGGCGCTAATGACTTCCATGGCAATTATGCCTTTGAGGGCATTGGCGATGAAGATCTGTAGTGCCCCCCTTCCTAGGACAGCACCCACCGAGGGTCTTCGCTGAGGAATGTACGACCTGCAGACAGGTTGCAATCAACGTGCCTCTCACCTGCTACATCCACCTTTCCCTGCTCCCGTGGGCTGGGGAGCAAACCCCCAGCCCTCCGCTGCCTTTGGGATGGGGGCAGCTGAACCCCTCCTGCTGCTGGCTCCAGCTGGGAGAGGGCCTGTTCCCAGGGTGGCATCAGCCCAACCCAAGCAGCATGCCCAGGCCGAGCCCTGGAGCAGCATCATGGAGCCTGGCCCAGCGCTGGGGGAGCAGAGCTGCCCCTTCCCCAGCCAGGAGCTGCCCTGCGAGGCCGGGCACAGCCTGGTGGCACCGAGCGGCCCTCGTGAGACTCTGTAATGCCAAATTAGTGTTTAGGTTTCTGCTCAGAGATAGGCTGCAGTAAACTGTCTCCAGGGGGCTCTGCGCAGAGCCCCTTCTCTAACCCGCTCATAGACTCCAGCGTAATCTAGGCTTGTAACCACGTATCTTCTGCTGCTCAGACCAACCAGAGCATTAATGGACAGTAACTGATGTTTACGCACTGCAATGATGATTAAAGTGGATCCTGATTGGTACTGGGCTGTCTGTTGGGGGGTGGCTGCTGTCCCTCTCCTCCCTGCACACCCTGCCCGCCCATGCTGTCCTCACCCTGAAGCAGAACAAGGTCCCCTGGGAGAATAGCAGATAACAAAACTGACTGTTTAATGCTTTTATACACAATATAAATTACACTGACCAGCATGGCAACAGCCATGGAACCAGTCCTCCCTCCCCCCTTTTCCCCAAGGTCCGGCAGAAGATGACTCCAAAGGGCATGAACAGGCAGGTACCACCCCCAGCAGCATGGCCCTACCACCTCTGGGGCAGGAACCTGAGCCACTGCTTGTGGCTTTGCCCTGACAGGGAAGGATAGGGCTGCTGGAGGTCCCAGAACACCCATGGGCCCCACATAAGGCAGCCCTGAGCCCCCGTGAAGTCTGCTGCCCATCCCTCCCCCAGGGAGGGCAGGGGCTGAAGCACCCTGGGCCTGATGCAGGGCTGGACACCCCTGCAGCCAGGATAAGTGCTGTCTTAGGGCAGGGCTGTGCCCACGGCTGGAGGGGCCAGGAGGGCTTTGGCATTGCGTGGGTTTACCCAGCTCTCAGCTGTGTGGCCGTGGATTTTCTGGTGGCGCTTGTAGTTGTCCCAGTGGCCAGTGGTGTAAGAGCAGTCCCGACACTGGAAGGGCTTCTCACCCGTGTGCCGTAGCATGTGCCGCTTCAGGTTCATGCTCTGGTTGCAGCTGTAGCTGCAGAGGCTGCACTGAAAGGGCTTGTCACCCGAGTGGATGCGCCCGTGACGCTTGAGGTTGGCCAGGTTGCCACAGGCATAGTCGCAGAGCTGGCACTTGTAGGGCTTCTCGCCTGTGTGCACTCGCTGGTGCCGCTTCAGGTTGTCGAGATGGGCAGAGGCGTAGGGGCAGAGCGGGCAGGCAAACGGCTTCTCCCCACTGTGCGTCTTCATATGCCGTGCCAAGTGGTTAGGGTAGTGGGTGACGAAGGGGCAGAAGTTGCAGGAAAAGCCTTTGTCCCCAGTGCCCTTGCGGGGGCTTGCACCCGGCTCGGTGCCCAGCACCGCCAGGCTGCAGCGCCCACAGACCTGCTCAGCCCGCCCCTCATCCTGCGCAAACCCATCGTCCAGCACCAGCCCGCACATGCGGCATGTGAAGGGGAAAAGCAGCTCGGGCAGTGCGGCCGCCTCC